TCGCTTCTGATTGGTTGGAAGCGGATCAATTTATCCCAAATTGTATCGATAGCTGAACAATTAAATTTTAATTGTATCGGTCACATTTGAGCAATGGAGTCGGATAAAACTTCCAGGTTTTCCGTCTCAGACAAACAAAAAGCTTCTTATGAAGAAGCAGCAGTAAACAAAAACACCAAAAAGTCAACCGAAACTTGGCTCCGCACGTACTTGGAGTGGGCTAACGAGAAGAAGAAACCGAAAAGCATTGAAAATTTCTCGCCCGAAGATCTTGACGAAGTTCTCAGAGATTTCTACACCGAGCTAAAGAAAAAGGACGACAGCGACTATGAGCCAGAGTCCCTGGGAGTTATGCAAGCGTCCCTAGACCGCTACGTAAAGAACAAAGGTTATAAGGTTTCAATTATTCGGGGAAGGGAATTCGCAAAGTCTAACAAAATTCTAAAGGGGAAGGCAAGGGAACACGACCAAACCCAACAGATGCACTTACCTGGGAAGAAGAAGAAATGCTGTGGAAAGAGGGTCGACTTGGGCGACATACTCCAGCAGTCCTTCTGAACACAACTTGGCACTTGGTGACCCAACATTTTGGTTTAAGAGGAAGGCAAGAAAACTACGACTTGCGCGTTGAACACTTCAAGTTTGCAAACGATGAAAATGGCCGCACGTATGTCACGTTTGCCGACTCCAACCCCACGAAGACGAGAAAGTCTTCCATAAAGCTCCAACGAAGGATGGTAATTCCGAGAATGGTGGCTATTGGCGGTATGAGGGGTCCAGTTAGCATTTTTGAAGAATTTATCAGCCGCCGACCAAGTGAATTTAAAGAGAGCCGTCCACTGTACCTTGCCATCAACTACAAACCAAAGTCCAAGTTTTTAGTACAAAGCACAAAGGATGGGTCAAGGAAAGATTGGCAAGATCATGCAATCCATTGTCCAAGGAACATCGGTTGAAGAAAGCAACAAATGAGTGGCAGGCCACATGCCCCGCAAAACTCTCGTCAGAAAGCTGGACCAACTTGGATATAGCAGAGATGAAATTTCTGCCGTCACTGAGCACTCCAACATAAAATCTCTGGACTCCTATCAGGACACCATGAATGAAAGAAAGTCGACCGAGCTTTCTCTGGCTGTGAGTGGTATTTCGAGGAAAGCTCTGCAGGTGCAAAATCCAAGTAGCAGCATAAGTTCCGCCACTCAGCTCGCCGTCCAAGAGGTAGTGCTGTACAGCAGCGCAGCATGTCAACAACTACTTCACAGATGTGTGTGAGTACTCAGTCTTTTATTGCAAGCACCACTACTGCCAATACACAGCTGCATCAGCTTCCTCCCATTCATCTGCCAGGCAACAATCAACATCACATTCAACAATCAGCTTCCACAATGATCGAAAGTCCTTGGTTTGAAAAACTTTGGAAAAGCTTACACGAATGTTTTTTAGAGTGGTCTTCCCATTTCATTTTACGTTAAGTTTAAGCTCGGTTTTCCCGAAGGAGTTCGTCCTTGTATCTTGAACTTTATGTAATAGTTTAAATCACGGCTGTGAACCGTGGCTTTCCAGAATAAGTTTTCATGTGAGTGTTGTCGGTAAAATAACGCTTTTACCGTTTGGACGTGCACTTTCCTTTCATTTATCAAAAAGTCGCTCATGCATTCAGAGTTTTGACAGTTTTCAAGCCAATAAAATTCATCTTCGTGTTGCAAACTTGGGACATGCTCGTCTTTGTTGCGAATCTGAATCGAGAAGACTACATAAATTATCTTTCTCGCTGTAGCAAAGACCATTGTGATATGAAGTGCGTTCATGTTAGCGGACATTTAACCAAATTGGGGAGGAACATATAGATCGGACTCGACTGAGCGGCGGAAATCGAGCCTACAGCAAAGAGTAAAACAACAAACCCAGCAAAAAAAAAAAAAGAAAAAAATTACCCTCGACCATCGACCCTCGACCCTCGACATGGGACCCTCGACCCTCGACAAAAAGATAGACTCCGTCTTTGTGGCTCGTTTTCGAAAGAAAGAAATTATTTTACGGAGAAATTTGACGAAACGTGTTGAGAAAACAAAGTTACAAAACTAAAATATTTAATCACAGCGTGGCTTCATTTTAACAACCCTCTATAACGAAAAGACGTCAGATAGAAGCTTGTATTTACGGTTGCCGTATTATTAAAAGGAAAACGATCTTGTGAACAGATCGGACTTTTTCTTAGTTCCACTCGTGGCTGCGGTAGCCACTCGTGGAAATTACTAAAAAGTCCGACCAAGTACAATTAATCCCTAATTGTTTCGAGAAAAAAGATCGATTTCCTATACTAACTTGATCTCTTTTAATTTCAGACTTGAGACGAGTGGCAAGGAAAACACCAATTATGTTTACCAGCGTTAGCAAACGGAAGTTTAAAACTAAGAATAAAGCCTAAAGCCATGCATGATTTCAGAAGTGTTTGTTTTCACTTATCCGACAAGAAGTTTCCTGAGGCAACTCTTATCTCGCAGTGGCTTGTGGGACGGTTACTGAGACAAAACAAAAGACAAGAATTGCCTTCAGGAACGATCCCACAAGTGATTGCGAGATGTGACTCGCTCCAGATTTCTTCTTGAATCTAAAATGGCAAATTGTCTCATTAATTCTCATTCAGCCACCAAAGTGTTGTCTTTCGTTGAGGAACAGATGAAGTCTTCCCTGTTAATAATGTCAGAAATGTATCTCATATGTGTTCAGCTGATGTGTAATTTAGTTTCATGAGTTACTGAACTTTTGAAGTATTGAGTTCACTTCAATTTAATTACATGACGTGCCACGTGCCTGTCTTGGCACAGTTTTGAATCAGCATTTTGCGCCACAAAGGTGATGAACAGAGAGTAGTCTTTTACTAACGCAGGGAAAGAAAGCGAAATTTGATAATTCACAGGCAACATGCAAAACATTAGGCCGCGGGAGAATTACTGGAAAATACGCCACTTTACAGTTGTGTGCTTAGTTACTTGGCCTATGAATGCAAGCGAGGCTGGAGGGGACATTACTTTGATACAAACCTCTCGGTTTTTCTCATTGAAATGCAAACTAGTTAGTATAAGAGCAACTTGACTTACACAACAAAAACAGTGAGGTCTTTATCAAAACAAGGCCACCTGCAGCCTCGCTTCCATTCAAAGGCCAGGTCACTGAGCAGACAACTGTAAAATGATCTATCGCGTGGCTGCGAAGTGACGCTGGAGGAGCCGCGAGTTGACTGGTTGACTTTTTTGCGTTAAGATGAACAATGCAAAGAATTAAAGACTTCCCGTCAAATAGAAACACTCTTATATACAGTTTATTAGCACCTCTAACAACCTACGTTGATGGACAAGTTGCAGGCTTGCGAAATATGCAACCAAGCCATTTGAGTTCATAGTATCAAGGCTTGACCCGAACTGAATAGATACCCAGATGTGCTCGGTGTAGTAAAACTTCAATTGCACAAACACTGTATTTACTTGAGCAATGCGAATAATTCTAACATACAGTTTCAAAAGGCTCACGCGTGCTATGTGGAGATTCAACCTAACTAGGTCAATTTATGTAAATCTCTCGATAAATTATCCAGCTATTTTTCGATGAATTTTAACACCAGACACCAGGGGGAAAACCAGAGAAACTTAATCAATCTACCTGCAACGTTTGGATAAAATGATTGGGCGACCTTCTAGCTACATCAAACATATATTAGACGTAACTATGTTTATCACTGTTGAAACACAGATCATCACAATAGCAAGAGATTGACTAAATTCCATGTGGCCTGAACTGAACATCTCTATTTGATTTACTAGCTCTTCATCAGTCTGCTTTGAGTTTTCTGAAAAAAAAAGAACGCAGAGAATATTTATCAAATCAAGTAGCTGCTAATTGGCAAGGCTGATCTGACATTATGTGTAGTTATAAGGGGTGTCGGAATTTTCAGATATTAAAGTTTTGATTTCTGAACTACATTTACCGTAGGTTGCTCAGTTTCATCCCAGGAAATTGAAAGGTATGGACTTGAGGTATTTCCACATACTAAAAGAACGGCGCAACTTTAAATGAAAGGTAAAAGAGATTGGGCATAGCAGAAGGACGGGAACCTTGTTACCATGGTTTTGTCAGCAAAATCTAAAATGCCGCCAACTGTCTGCCGGGATAGCCTGGTGAAACCCGGCCCAGTAGAATCGGTGAGGTTAGAAGCGGCCGTATTCACAGCGGCCACTGTCGGAAAAGCCAATTAGCATCAGTGAATGAAAGCTAAAACTGAATGTTTGGCCATTTAGGCCGGGCTTTCGACAGCAAAGCAAATTTCCTTTCGTTTCCTCGTTTAAAGTGTTGACAAGCTTAGATATGCCCGAAGTGAGAATCTCAAAAATGAAATGGTGCCGTCCTAGGTCCTTTTCGAGAGCTGAGCTCAACGTCGTCTACATCCATATTCTTCTTACATGTTCCTCTGCATTCTAAATAAATCTATTTGAGAGAATTTGGTTTCCAGTCAAGACGTAACTTCTGAGTCCGTTCGGTCGTCAATTCTCATAACCCTTCGTAGTTCAATTTAACCACACTGGTTTACCTTTCACTTCCAAGTGCACTGTTATCTGCTTCAAGTCAACATTTGTTGCAGCTATGCAGAAATAGCTGCCTGCATCGCTTAACTGCACGTCTCTTATGTTAAGTGATCCGTTCTCGTGTGCCTTGTATTTTTCTTCGTCCAGAGGTCGCCCGCCTTGACCATGTTTGAGCCACGTGATTCTAGGTTTTGGGCTGCCTGTGGCGACACAGTGAAACCAAACTGAGTCCCCGACAGTAGCCGTGTTGTTGTTTGGTTCAACCAGGAAACGCAGCGGATCTGTTAAAAGAAATAATACGTTACCATTTAGTAAATAGAAATCAAGTCTTACTTGGTATACCACGATCCTTTTCGGTCTCGCTGCCACTGGTGACATGTATTAGCATGGATCTCTGATGTGTGATTGAGCTTTATACGCTCTCCTTAAGGAGTTGAAAAAAACCGAAAATGCAACAGCAACGGGAACGTCGCTAAACAAAAGGTTCAATGAGCAGTACAGAATGGCTGTACACGTGCGTTATAATTCTTGGTGCATTTAATTACCGTACTCTGTAAAACAACAACGTGAAGTGACATAATTCTGCGTTGTGTGGAGAACGCGAACCACGACCAATAATTTTTAAAATTTATATTTCGAATTTTACGCTGTATTCCATAATCAGTTTCGAGATAGTTTTGACTAAGAAAAACAAACTAAATGAGTTTAGAGTATCGTGAGATTCGTAGGTAAAATAAAAAGACATTTTTTTAAGCGAAGTTCGTTTTCCTTATGTCGGCGTTTGTTTTATTATCACTACATTCACTAAAAAAAAATCACTAGCAATTAAATTTCTGCAACATGAACTTTGTGAGGGCTTTGCTACTTCCCCTGAATAGGACGCTAGTCTATCGCAGGTTGCTCCCAAGCTTTCTCAGGCTTTAAAAGGAGCTATTTCACGTGTTTCAAGTTCGTCGTTTTTGATCCGGGTTAACTCGATCCTTAACCATCCTTGTTTTTTATGGTTTATTATTATATCTTTTGCGTTTTTCTATTTTAGCAATAGAAACATTGTTCGGGGCCAAAATAACTTGAAATAACGAGACTGATGCCATGACCCCAGTCATGGCGGGATCACGGGCAGGAGTTATCAAAATCAACTTAGGGACGGACCATTATTTTATTTTTTGAGCGGGGGGCGGGGCGGGGGGCGGTGGACAATTTTCTGGGGCAATAATTTTTTCCTCACCTTTAAGTTGTGCATGACTTTTTTTGGTGGGCAAAAGCTTGTGCAAGAATGTTTATAAAGTTAAACTCAGGACTCGGATAGTAGACAGCACTTGCTCGAATTTCCAGCTCCCATGGGCATACACGATTTTGTTTTCCATCAGTTTTTGCTGTGCAGGAATGTTTTTCGGGAATTTCCCAACCCCTTGTCTCAAAAGAATCATGGTCAGTCCCTTGTGTGGGGAGCGCGAGGAAGGGTAGGAGGAGACGGAGGGAAATATACCAGCCTGGTCATCCGTTCAAACTTCTAGGGTGGAAAAATCTAGCTTCCCAGCAGCAAATTCAAAGAGCTACGATGGTTTAAAGGTCTCTGCACGGGTTGGCTCCAAACTACCTCAGTTCTAAATTTTAAAGGCAAGAAATCGCATATGACCTAAGGGACTCTGAGAATAAACTCCATGTTCCATTACCGCGCACAGACTATTTCAAAAATAGCTTTAGCTATAGTGGCGCCATTCTCTGGAACAGTCTTCCTTGTAACTTAAGAGAAGCAGAGTCCCTTGGGCAATTCAAACGACTACTCGAAGAAGAACTGTAAGGCACGGCATTCGTGGAAAGCAGCTTTTTATTTAAATATTTCTCATTATATAAGTGTTAGGTATTTTTAAAGGTGACAAATTTTGTACCGTGGATGAATAAAGATTATTTACCTACCTACCTACCTACCTACCTACCTATCTAATATCTAAATAAGCATCGAGTGATATCCCGTTACGAAAGACGCAAGTGTGCTGCATCGCTAGACGTGCAAGAATACGAAGGAGAAAAGAATATTGACGTGGAAGAGAATCTTCAACCCAAGTACTGTCCAAATCAATGGAATTCCACAAGTGAAATACACGCGTGTAAATTTAAGAGAGGGCTAAAACGGGCATCTCTAAAAGGTCAAATAAGCATCGTGTGGTATCCCGTTATCAAAAACGGGAATGTGCCGCATCGCTAAACGTACAAGAATACGTAGGAGAAATAAAAATTGACATGGGCGAGAATGTTCAACCCAAGCACTGTCCAAATCAATAGAATTCCACAAGTGCAATACAAGTGTGTAGATTTGAGCGAAGGCCAAAACTAGAATCTTTGAAAAGCCCAATCAGAATTGTTTGGGATCCCGACACAAAAAAGGCGCTTGTGGCGCATCGCTAAACGTACAAGAACACCGGAGAGACAAGAAAATTGACATGGGCGAGAATCTTCAACCAGAGCACTGTCCAAATCAATAGAATTCCACCAGTCAAATACATGTGTGTAAATTTAAGGGAGGGCCAACACTAGCATCTTTAAACAGCCCAAGAAGCATCGTTTGGGATCCCGACACCAAAAACGCGAGTGTGGCGCATCGCTAAACGTGCAAGAACACCGG